TTCTGTCTTAACGCATTCGTTTAAGAATTAAAACTTAAAATACAGGAATTCATTTATAAAAATTCGCATTTCCATTAAAATAAAAATGGAATTTCATTGCAGACGGAACACCTTCGACGTTCATCCTGACTTAAAAATATTTGCTCGATAATTCTGGTAATGCCCCAGAAATAAGTCGCGCAGAGATGACGAGACGTGTGAAGTGAGAGATATAATCCGCTGTTTCAAGTTGGTGCTCAGACTTGTTGGCTATGTCAATATTGGTCCCCTTCTGCTAACCATCTACAGTCCTGCTCGCACGCTGTTCTCGTCAGCTTCTGTAGCTGCTAAGAGACAAGAACCGAACTCCACTGGGAAATATTACGAGTGGCCCCCTGCTTACACATTACCCGTGCCCTCCTCTCCACTGAACTCAGTTTCTGAATACGTCACCTGCGACGGAATTTTCATTCCTTCGACATAGTTCTTACTCTTCAAGGCCAGAAAAACTCGTGTAAACCTCGAAAATCACACGTATTACTTCAATGTTTATTAGTTTAATTTAAGACGCATTTAAATTGACGTCGGTCTTCTGGAGATACTAACGTCGTGCGGACGTTTAAGCATTTACATTTAGTACGACTCCTTGGACTCGTTATCAGCCTAATGTAAGACCTCTACATAAAAGGACACAGAAAAATGCGGACAAACATCCATGCCTCGAACGGGACTTGAAAATACGTTTCAAGTGTTTCAGTTGTCAAGGCCACAAAGCGCCCGCTGTGAAACTTCGTATTTTTTTTTCTTTCAACTGTAAAATGTCGGAGATAAATGAGGTTTGGTAATCTCTTGGTGCAAAGTACCACTTAAAAGTATCCTGGGATTTACATATTTTACAGCATAATCAAAAAAATTATGACGAGTAACACAAGAGCAGCTCGCAGCTGTTCAGTTCATGACGAAACTACCAGCGAAATATAATAAACAAAACTTTAACACATTTGTAATGGAAATTGTATTAATAAACATACATGTCTGTTTGATAAAACAATTAGCCTCTGTGTAGTGAAAGGGCTTTACTAACCTATAACACAATTATTATGTGAAAGTAATAATTTAATTAAAATACTTCAAAAGCATACAGCAGCTATAAAATATTCTACACTGCGGATTTTCACAACAGGAAAGACAAACAGAAAACGTACCCTTTCCTGCCAGAAAGAAATTTAATATTTCATGAAAAGTGAAAATGTCTCGGTATTATGTTTAATGTTACGTATCTATTAAACCATATTAAATTTATTGTAAATTTTTACAACAGACTTTTTAATCCCTTGCGGTCCCTTTTAAATACCACTATGACTCTCTGCGGGTCTATTTAAATACCATTAAGCTGTATAAATTCAACTACTATTACGAAATGGTTAAATTTTCTTTTATAATTTGCATTATATGGCCGTGGTCTTTGATGTTCCAGTGACATAGTCCCAAAAACAGATTCATGGCACAATTGACAGCGGTGAGAACTCACTCAGAAAAAACCACCGAAGTTGCTGCTGTATATACACCTTTTTTGGATGCCTATATTTTATTTACTTGTTATTCTAAAACAGTTAGTGCAGTAATTACTCTTAGTATAGAAGAAATATAAAAATTCTAGTTAATTAATTTGACAGCTAATTATGGCTTTCATTTAGAAAATATTTATACCATAATTGAAAATATCCGACATAGTTACCTCCTGATATTCCTTCAGGAAAGCAGGGAGTATAACAGGAATTTATCAACCCTCGGATGAAAGGAAACTCTGAACTGACTAATTCCAGTGAAGACACAAAGTTCACAACCTCGTCATCCGCGAGCCTTCCTCTTCAAATAATTTAATCTTCTTTTTATCCCCCTAATCTAAAACTCTTTGTCCGAACAAATTATCTGTCGTGTATAGACGCCATTAAGAAAAACAATGCGCTATACAATTACTTTTTCTGCAAGTAACGTTCTTTTGCAGATATCTTCTGTTAGTCTGAACTATAATTAGTGTTCAAAGCTGAGTAAAAAGAAATAACTATACAGCTTTTTTCCCTACCGGAAAGCGAAGAGCGACGAAACTGTAGTTAATTTCGTGCATGAGCTGATTGTAGAAAACTAAAAGACAAATTGCGAAGAAATTATAAACACAGAAACGGGTTTTGTTTTAACTGTTTTCTGAGAAGTCTTAGCGAAACAGTTTCTTGGATAATTAAAACAGTCTCTTAACTCATTAATTCCTTTATTCCTGAGATCTGAGGTTCTCACGGGGAGGAATATGCCCATGTTCTTCTGGCTTTTGACGCCGTGTAACACGTAGGTAGATACCAACGTTTCGGAAAAATATACTGTCTCCATCTTCAGGACCGAAAATGGAGACAGAATTATTCTTAAAAATTTTGGTATTCACCTGTGAGAGTCTACACGACATCACATAACAGAACAACATCAGCATCATTTATTCCTATTTTTTTCCTCAATTAAATAAACATCCGCTTCTTTAGTGGCACAATGCGTAAGTATTTCAGTTATCACCAGCTCCTTTCATCACTAAGCGATCCTATGTTATCATATTCCTCCCAGTGTATGTGTTCCTGTGGGTATGATGAAGACAGAGTATAATCTCATCTTCTGTTATTTAACAATATTGTTTCAGCTGCACAGAATAGAGGCTGGTGAGATGATTATGAATCTTGAGCAGATAAAGATTAGTGAGCGTGCCGCGACCTATTTCAATGTATTTTTTTTAAAAAAATCGTCATATCTGATAATATTTTACTCAAACAAAACGGCGTCAACCTAATAAAAATATAACTGCGTTAGTTCTAATGATTAGGAACATAGTTTACTTTACAGACATAAGGAAATCGTTTTCAAATACAGAAATAAGCTTTATAATAATAACAAAAAAGTATCTTATGTAATTAACAACAAAAACCTTTCTACATATAACAAATTCCATCTAGTATAAATTTCATTTAGATTTTTTGGGGAATTGATAACTTCGACGTTCTAGCTAGTCACTTCTAAAATTTCAAGATTATGACTAAACACTCCTATGGAACCAGAATTTGCCAGCCGAGACAGAGGATGCCTGTAACCAGAAACGTAGCACAGCAGCGCAGTTTACGCGATGGTTACACGAGTAAAATATGTTCCAGCGCTCGATTATTAAGGCGTAATTAGCATAAACAGAACAAATAAAGTGAACTCTAGCGCGTTATCATATTTCATATTCAGCATTTCAACAAGAAAATCAAATAACCCAGCATTACACAAGTGACGAAACTTTACCCACGTTTTTCTTTCATCCGTCTTCTAAAGTTCCGTCATCCGCGTCGGAACTTCAGCCTCCTGCCCGTACATTTTCTTCCTCTCATCTCGCCTTTCATACCGTGATAGCTAAAATGTTTTTATTAATCGGCATACGTTCAACATGAGAATTCTCCGCCTTTTTCTTCTAAAGAAGACGAAAGAAAAGACATTCTCAAGTCGAAACAAACAAAATTTAAATAAGGATGAAAACTAGGATCAGAACTTGATGTACTATCATCTAAAAATGCGGAAAACTTTCTCTTCGGTGAGGAGTCGAGAAATCTGAGAGAAAGAGGTCAATTGGAAGACCAAAGCGATTGGAGGATAAAATTACAACGGATCTCAGAAAAAGAGCCTATGAGTTTATGAACTTTTACGCTGTCTCAGGAAGAGTTCAGTAGTGGTGATTATATTAATGCGAAAATGTATATTAATGAATAGAAAGTACTTTAGTATAAGCCCTCATTACCGAGTACCAAAGGGTATACGCCTCTTAAATCAATATCAGCTTCACAAATGCACCATTCCACCATGAATCCAGTATGCTACATGGCAATGCTCTAACTATTTTTCATTACGATTTACCTTTGCCTACAATTACGTTCTTCTACTCTTCTATAGCAAAGATAGCCATGGCCAAGGCAGCTTTCGTCAAGAAGAGGATACTTCTCACTAGCAAGTTGGGCTTGGAGATGAAGAAGAAACTAGTGTCGCGCTGTATGGAGCAGAGACTTGGACACTCAGGAAGAAGGAACAGAAATACCTGGAGAGTTTTGAAATGTGGTGTTGGAGAAGAATAGATAACTGGAGAGCTGGTTTTGGGCAGAGCAATGGACCTGTCGTCAGACAGAACACTGAATAATAATAACCCTTCTATACGTTTATAATGGGTTATTTCTGAAGATGGCTGTATTCTGGGCCATTGTACCATGTAGTCTGGTAGAAGTTTACCAGTTCTACCAGACTACATGGTGCAACAACCCAGGATACAGCCATCTCCAGACTCACAGCCGTGAGAACCTCAAATCCTACATGGGTTATTTTTCTTTTTCTCTTCCTTGCTACTAATTGTTATCGTGTTTTGTTATTCGTTCCAACCCTGCCCTCCTCACATTTCTGAAGCGCTCTCATCACTCCTCGTAGCTGGCACGCTGTATGTCGTATGTGCCCAGCGTCTAGTAACAGGACAAGTGACTTACGAGACGACAGCGGCTTCTCGGAACACTTGAAAACGGCTCGCTAGTCTCTGGAGAGGGCAATGCAAGACAGAACCCGCATACAAACGAGGGTCGTGGTTCAGATATTGCCTCACTGCGGAGAAATGTTTTTCTCAATGTCTTAGCTCCGATGGGAGCAGATAATGGAAACGAGTTAAACCGAATCTGGCAGGTAAGGGGCAGAGACCGAAGTTCGTCTTAACATTTAAACATTTAGTCCCTACCTCAAAGAAAACACAACTCCTCTCCATTACAATAATAAGTTGGTTAAATTGACTTGTTCCTAAAAAGGGCGTTGTATATATAAGCACACGATACGATACTGAAGTGTAAAAAAGTCTTGCGCGCTTTATATGTCTTACCAACATATATGTCCAGGAATTTATACAGTGACCTTGAATCCTAAAGTAACTTCAATTCACGCTTCTCTTCTTATATGGATTGTTTCCTGTTATTTTTCAGAATTTGAAGGATCAGATTCTTACTACGAACGTCTGGCTGGAACATGTAAGTACTGTCTGGATTTTAATTCTTAAAGGGTTCTAAAAATGTTGTATTACACTGGATACTGCTGTTCTCTGGACTTGTCTCTTTGTTCATTTTTCTAAAACAAAATTACTACTTTTCGGGAGCTGGCTCTGATCTCGTCTTCAAGTTAATATTAACTCTTCTGCGTAATATAGAAGTAGCTAGTCCCAATCCTTGTCCTGTCCTGAGAATCAGTACTTTTAATAGACAGTGAACGATATACAGGTAAATGAACATTAAAACAAATGGTAAAAGACTATATATCATAAGCATTTGCGAGTAAAATTGAAAACATGGTTAACATATGCTTTAGCTAACGACACAATGTATGATTTGAGGTCTTCACGGCGGTGTCCAAAGATTGTTGTCTTCTGGGTTGTTGCACCGTGTAGACTGGTAGACTTTCACCAACGTTTCAGAGGTCATACTGCCTCCATCATCAGGGCGATGAGTATGAAGTTTTCTGTCTCCTGGGTTGTTGCACCGTGTAGACTTGTAGACTTTCACCAACGTTTCAGAGGTCATACTGCCTCCATCATCAGGGCGATGAGTATGAAGTTTTCTGTCTCTTGGGTTGTTGCACCGTGTAGGCTGGTAGACTTTCACCAACGTTTCAGAGGTCACACTGCCTCCGTCATCAGGGCGATGAATCATCGCGAAACAACCCAGAAGACAACAATCTTCATCGTTAACATAAGTCACTCAGAAGAGTACCCAGAGCTAAATCGATCTTGCAAGGACCTGGACACAGAACAGGGCCGGCCATACCATCGCTGTGTTAACTGTAATCGCCTGCCAATTCCACGTGAGCCTCTGCGTAGCAGTGACTGAGTGTCGTGTTTGTGCAGGAGTGGCAGGACCACAAGTTCCGGTGGGACCCACAGGAATATGGAGGTGTTACTGAACTCTACGTCCCGTCAGAACACATCTGGCTGCCTGACATTGTGCTCTACAACAAGTGAGTGTGACTACTTTCCATTTCTATATCTGTTCGTGTTGGTAACTAAAGGTTACAAAAAAATGCGTCTCTTAGCTTCTCCATGCCTTAAATTTCAGTTTTAATTGGTGGAAATTCTTGCAGGAATCATATTATATTACAGCGGTATAAATCCTAATGTGAAAATATAGTCGCTAGCGTGAAGTTACTTTGACAAAGAACCATCTGCACGTCCTGTTCAGGCCCCGTTGCTGAGCGGCGAGACTCCGCCCTACTGATGCAATCGTAGCTAACAAAAAAGGAAGAAATCCTCTCCTAACATGTACGGTAAAGTCTTTCTCCTCTCTGTGATGCTTGTAATCTAATCAGTTTGTCGCAGGCGCCGAGTGGAATCGTTCGTCTCGCTGTTCCTGACGGTTTAAGGACATGAACGGAATGTTTTGCGGAGTAATTTAAATTCTTATTAATGTGTTATGTTTATCTGGAAGCTACCGAAAAATAAACACAGCTGACCTATTTTATTGCAATATCTCGGAATTTTCTTTTGAGGAGCTGAGGAAAGCCACGCAAAACTCCTGTCGTCATATTCGGTCCACCGGCCAAAAGTCTTACGGGAAACTTTCTGAAGCACTGCAGCTCGAGCTAATCTGCCCGGTATCACGGGCCAGCTTAACAAGAACTCTGGGTTTATACGTCATTTTTATCTTCGCTTCAAAATGGATTCCACTCACAGAAAATTCTCGTTAGGTTCTGCTAAGCATGATCAAGAAACGTTATTATCTGGAAAATGTAGATAACAGACATGTTTAATAACTTTTTTGAATATTAATTACGGCGTTAGACGTTTTTCTATTAAGGATTTAAATTAAAAATGAGTCAATTAAATTTGTAATTATTTTTCAATCTCTCATCTCCGTTCATCAATCAATATCACAAACTTTCAAGCGAGGTGCGCAGCAGAAAAACTGAAACGGAATAAAGAACTTCAGTTTTTTAATTTTACTTCTAAGTAGAATCTTAAAACAAGAACTGGTAATTTAAACTTATTTCGTTGCAATACGACGAGCTCAACTGAGTTTCACACAATCAGTCACAATTAATTAATTAATTAACAACAACAACTGGTTTATAAGATTTTTTCCTCTGAGTACAAAACACTGAGGTCTGTTTGTCACCAAATTTCTTCTTCTGTTATTTAGAACACCATGCCTACTCAGAAAGTAATTACACAAACACTCGCTTAATTACTAGTGGAACATCAATTAAAGTTCAGTCTCAATAATCCGACTTAAACGAGGCTGAATGACGGCTAGATAATCGAAAATGTAGTATACTACGAAGACTAATGAAAAATAGGAGGGTAAACAAACTCAATTTATAACTCAATTTACGATGATACGAAGAAAATACAATACGGGATTAAATAAACAAAATAATCTTCACAAAAAAGTAATTGTTTTTACATAATGTAAATATGCAAACGAGTTTACATTTTAAAGAAATTAGCTTCTGAGTCTCCTGATTTTTTGAGGCGAGGTCACACCATCGCCTCAAGCAACGTCTTTAGCATCTGAGTACATAAAATTCAGACTGTGTAAGATGGGGGAGTGATTATTCCGAAACATGCCGTGATTACTGTTGATAAAATGGAGCGTACCGAAACGTCACGTTGGATAAAACTTAATGTCGGGTAACCGAAGGTCAGATAATCTGGATTACACTGTAAATTCGTACATTACAACCCATGAAATCACACGAATATTACCACAACAGAACCACCAAATTTAGTGCCAATATTTCCCACGTCGTTACTAACACTACCACTACAACCACGTCCTTGTCCACCCAATAAAACCCTTCTTTCAAGAGCTCAAATCAAACTATCAGATTAAATAAACTATAAGTTCTACAAAAATAGGGAACAGGTCGCTTTAAACTGTCACAATTAACTTTTTGAATGGTAAATAAATTTAGATGTTCCGCAAGACACTTTAGATGGATAATCAGCCCTTCACCATGCCCCATGTAAATAATTTCACAAATCAAAAATAAAGTTACGTTTGCATAAGCTGAAAAAGTCTATATTATATTACACCTTGCACAGAATTGTTTCGCAAAAATGCGCCTGATTTATGTGTCTCGTTTAATTTACTGTGTGCTCTGATTCATCAATAATCTGAGAACAAAGTAGGCAGTGAATTATGCCTCCAATTTTGACAATCGCAACCATTAATCACGGAGCAACCTTCACTTGGACAGTGATACATGTGTTCAGAAAGTTTCAGCAAAGCCAGCTCCTAAGTTGAGGTTAGGTACGGTTACAGCAGCAGTGGAACTTTACGAAGACCGCGTCACCTACTGTAACACCAAGAAATACTTTGGTTTTCAAGAACAGGTTTAAAACATCACTTGACATACAAACCATAAACTCTCCCCGTTAGGAAGTGATACATGGCAAGACGGCGAGATTATGAACGTATTTGTTATGTTTCAGGGGACGACCTGTACTGCACAGAACAAACTTTGAAGTTAAACTTATATATACAGAGCATACTCTATTTAGGAACCTTTATTTTTATATTTAAGAATGCCCTAGATTTAATACAAGTTGCACATCCTAAGTAGCATTTTATCTACGCAAATTTCTATGTACAAATTAAAATACTAATTATTCACTTGCGTTACATTTCATCGTTTCCATAACTATGTCTTCATTCACCATGATTTCAAAGTTTTATATAATTTCTTCACTTCTATTTCATTGGATCTGTTTATGCACACGTAAAATTTGGTATGAATTTCCGAGTGTTACATATGTGTCGAATTTTTTACATCAACATTTATTTATACTTTTCTGCACTGAACACTTCTGAAGTACCTTAAATCACCAGCACAGAAAGTTAATCTTGTACCGGCTTCATATTGTATGGATTATGTGGATGAGTTCACATTAAGTATATAAATATAGTTAGAAATAATTTACAATCAATGACATCCATAATTAAAGAAATAGTGATATGCTGAGATTATATGGATAAATCATAAAGACTTACGAGGCGTTTTCAAACACATACACTTCAACGTGCTTAGCCTAATCGACATATTGAAATGTCGCGAAATTTTCCTTAATTAAATTACCTTACCTTGCATAATTTGCATCCATGTGTTACGAAAATCCTGTATTTAGACTACATGCGTCGCGGGTTATAAGTTCAATAAAACCATTAATTAATTAACATATGTCTGAACACGAACGCTGCAGTTAATCTCTGTGTCTATGGTGCAGTCGGTTCCTAAACGCGCTGTGTTTTATTCACTTTGTAACCTACAGCTTTATTCCACGTCATTACCTGCACCTTCATTCAGACTCCGTCTACCAAAAGCTGCGTCTAGCGAGATCTAGCCAGATAACACTTACGTACCACCCGCTGAGTTGTCTGGAGTTGGCTATTGAATTTTCGTTTCTCGGTACAGAACATGGCGAAACATGGCACCGACTGATATGACTGAGGTGCCGGGGCCAGTAAGCTAACTCATCCGTCAACCCGAATCACTCCTCACAAATCCCTCTCCCTAAGTCAACCTGCTATCCAATTTCCTACGCAACGACATTGTATAATCGATTCCGAAACAGACCCCTTCCCGTTACTCTGTCTTAAGGTAACTTTACCGGATAATATATTGAGAAAAGAGGCAAAGGTTTTCATCTGTCGTATCCCTTCAGCCCACAGGCAATTTAAAAAACTACACCCCCCCCCCCAAAAAAAGGGGTTTTTTTCTACCGAAACAGGTTTACAAGAGTCTTTTAGTTAAGAAGGCGGTGTATCTTTATGGCTCATATAGAAACAAAGCTTTTCTCCTATACCAGAATTCCAGATTCCAGTATGGATTCTCCTTCCTTTGCTCCTTGCAGCGAAACTTAATAATTTGTTCATACTCGATCGAAAGTACATTGCTATAAACATGGAATCGAAGCTAAATCATAAAAACTTTGAAAACTATCACTCTCTTCCGGCTTGTGCAGTTTTCTGTGAAACTTCGCGTAGTCTAAGTGTGAAACTGCATTTTCACTCACTGGAACCCAAATGAGGAACGATAGATGTCTCCTGCATCATCGCAAAACTAAACAAGCATAATCGATCGGTATTTTTCTTGTATACATTATCTTTCGCGTACAAAACAGACAACATCGTCAGATAAATTCGTTGCAGGATGCATGAAACATCAAAAATATATTATAGTGGTATTACAATCCACTGAAGAGTATGGAATTTCACAGATTATTTTAATAACAATTGAACTTTTTGTACTGAATTCGAATTACAACCTAAACCTTCAAAGCACATACCTTCATCATACAAACTCTGAATAGTTTTGTATCAACAAGCATCAAAACGTTGGCTTCTGAGCTTTTGATAAACAGTTCCTTTCGCCTTCACAGTTGCATTTTCATGAAAGTACAAAGGTCTTATTTCCGTCATGAACTCTCTGATTCAAAGGACAAAGTGAAAAGTTTTTGATGGAATGTTCTGTCACCACGGGTCC